TCTCTTCTGCTAGCTAATTTGAAAAATATTACCAATAAACTGTAGATAGTGCAAATTTATTGAGCAATAAAAAGAGGAAAATGTTGGGCTGACGTATTTTGGAAAACCATCATTCTTCAGGACAAATCATCAGATTCCTAGCAAAAATTTACCTGAGCTCCAGTTACCAGCTTTAAATGTTTAGCAATAGAAATCTGCTGAACTTTTGTCTTTCCAGGCATAGATTGAAATGTGGCTTTGTAATGAAAATAAAGTAGACAGGGGATGTTTGAAGCATGGCCTTCCAACTCTCAAGAGAATGTCTGGACCACTTCTAAGACATCAGCTTCTCCTTTAGTAATGCATTTGCAAGTGTTAGCAAATATTTCCTGAGCCAATGTGAGAAAAATCACTTTCTTACCTAACAGATCACATCTGAGCAGGCCTGGGATTCAGTGCTTGCTCCAGCATAAATGTCTATTACACAAATAAACAGTCTTGGCACGCATGACCAGGGACATTGATCATCAGGGCATATCCCAGCCCAGACAGCACCTACCTGTAATAGACATGAAAAGGGTTTTAACTATTTCAGGGCAGGAAGGAAACAAAATGGAACCTGCACCTGTCATAGGTGTAAGAGGGTGTCTCAGCTCCTAAATTTTGGGGTATAAGGCTTTCTTGAAAATTTTAGTCAAATTTCATCTGAAGAGCTTTCAGGTAATAAAAAACCTGTATGTGGTTAAAGCACTGACAATAGAAATTTGACCAGTTCTCAAATAAATTTTGTTTGCTTTCAACCACTGTATCTTACAATACACTTCAAGTTTAATAGCACTGGAAGATTCTGGAAAGGTGATTTCCAGATCTGTCTGTCTTTGGCTTTTTCTCAGAGCATTGCTAGACTGGGACTGAGTACACATCTCCTTCATTACTTCTCATTTCTCCCATGTAAATTTCTGATACTTATTCTATTTATTATAAGACTTGAAATTTATTATGAAATTAGGAGAAATGCCTGAATTCTAAAACTTACGTATTACAAAATACAAGCAAAAACAAAGCAAAAACATCAGAGAATGTTTTCAGAACAGATGTAACATCGACCACCTGAATCTGTGCAAATTTCTGTATAACATAATGAACAAAGGCATCTCAGAACAGGGGAACCAAAAATATATTAAAAATCTGATGACTAGCTTTGTAAAGCTGTTAAATATTAACAGTAACAGGGTTGACCAGATCTTTATAGGAAAAGAGGAAAAACGTTCTGGAATAGCCCTATTTGATTTGAAGCTCTCTGGGGCAGGTCCTGCAGGATGTAGTCACTGAGGCAGAGAAAGTAGCCCATTATAAAAGGCCAGAAGAAAACTTGGCAGCTGGGTACTGCTCAGTCTCAGGGCCCAGGCAGGGAGCTGTGGGAAGGACTGAGCTCCCCTCTCTTCAATAACAAGGCACAAAGCTGGTCTGGAGACAAGTCTGACTGTCTGCATCGAGGGCACTGGGTTTGAGGTGGCAGGGAAGCCCCTGTGAATTACTGAGACTCTTACGGGAAACAGTTCTGTCAGAGTAGAACAAGGCTATGTGGAAACAGGCTAAGATAAATCCATCCCCTGAAAACAAGAGAAAGCAAAGGTGCAAGTGAAATGGAGATACATCTAAGGTGCCAGGAGCAGGTAGGGGCTTAGCTTTGGGGGTGCATTTTTAGACAAAATATAATTTTATTTGTAAGGTGTGTGAGTGAGAACCCACATGCTTATTATCTCTTCACAGCACCAGAGAGCAATTACAAGTTCTTTTATGGGCTTTAAAACTACCAAATGCACACGTGACCTGAGAAGACAGTCAGCAAGAGTGTGTTAAATTGCAATTCTGAATTGTCTAAACTGAGACCAAAATTAGCACCCAAGGTTAACTTCTACATCTGGACTAAACTGGATTTAGAATGTAATCTAAGTTGTCCAAAGTGAGTGGTCCAAATAAGGACCTTGGAGACTTCTTTTGGTGTATGCTTTGGAAAAAAGACTGAGTGGATGTAGCTTGGATAGACAATATAGGAGCAAACAAATTACATCTGTAAATCTTCAGGGTCAAATCCTGGAGGAGAAGAAGAAATTTATATGCAAATTCTCTCAGGAAAACATACTTATTTCATGAAACATAGAAAAGGGCAGTTATTTAAAATGACTGATATGCCTGGGAGCTTTGGTTTCAGCCTCCTAATACATCAAGCAGCTAAGCAAAGCATGGTAGACCTCAATAAATTGTTTTGCTTGAGTTCACCATCTTGCTTCTGCACTTTGTTTTCCTAATGACTAGTCATTAAAAAAAAACCAAAAAACAAACCAAATCCACACTAAAATCCAAAGCTCTTAGTTCTCTCAAGCATATTTGTAACAATTGGGTGCTTTTAGCAGCCATCAGGCAGCACTGTAAATTTCAAACAGGAAAATCCATATCTGATGGATTTCATCTACCCAGCTAAGAAATGTTAGGCATTCACTGCCCATGCAGACATGATTTTAATCTCACTGAAATACATGAGGCATGCAGCAAGGAGAACATACCATAGTTTCAGCATTTATTGCTGAGGACAGACTTGCACTGACCTCTGCAGAAGGACTCTGTGCAGTCAGTGCAGCAGTGGGAATGAGCATCCACATCTCATTTTCCTGAGAATTGCACTGTATTATATGTGCATCTGAAAACTAAGATGATTTGGGTTCATGTAGGTAAAAAATAAATGTCTACACAACTAATTAATTGTGGAACTTAAATTAAATGTTGGCTTGGATCTCTGCTTATGAACAGTTTTTTAGTACAGCTTCCAAATACATTTTTGTGGAGGCCTTTACAAACTTTTTTTAGGTTTGATTACAATTCTATGTGCTATTACATGTGCATGTGTGCCCACATATCTGTATAATGTGCACAGTTATTTATCTAATTAACATTCACAGTTCTGAGTCATCAATTTAACTTTTTCTAAGGACTAAAAGAACAGGAACCCATACCGATTTTCCAACCAATCAAAAAAAGACAAATCACTCTTCAGGCAAATCAGGAGTCTTGACTTAAGCTTACCTGTACTTGGATCTTTGCCAATTTTTTTTAAATCACCTTTCAAGAAATATCCCAAAAGTCTACAGAAATGTCTCTGAGCTTTAGACACAGTATCTGACAGGAGACAGTTATGTTATTTCATTACAAAATTAACTCTGATCCTTTTGGTGGGGAAAAACTAGGAAGTTTAGCTCTTTGAAAGTAGTATTCAAATTCAAAGCTTGTGGGTGGAGTTGGGGTGTGAAGGTGCATAAATAGGCAGTAGGAACAGCAGCATTCACACTGGAACCAGGAACACCTTCACATCCTGGCAGGAGCCTGGGAGAGCAAGCAAGGTAAGCACTGCTCAGTCCCTGCCTCGGCAGCACCCAGGGGAGCTGCGAGCCCCAGCTGGCTGGGATGGGGAACCTGATCAGCCAAAAGGAAAGACTGCAGCAAAGCAGGCACAGTCCAGCACAGCTTGTTGGGAAGGAAAATGTCTAGGGAAAGATTCGCTTTGCAGGTTTAAAAAAAAAAAAAAAACAAACAGGAGAAGAGGGGTTCTTTTGGAAAGCTTTTTAAAAGTGCACATAGTCTTCCAGAGGCAAGCTTTTTAAGGGACAAGTTTAATGTTCCTCTGTCTTTGCTTTCTGCATGCTGCCTCCACAACAGCCTAGTTTGCCTGATCTTCAATTTCCTGGTTGTCCCTTATTTTTTACTTTATTATTTTTCTTTTTAAAGAAGCATTGCTTCCGCCATACAGCTCTCGCCAAAACAATTCTCGAGGCAACCCTGACAATCCAGAGTTTAACTGAACTTCATGCAATTTTCCTCCTTGGCAAGGAGGCTTTTCTTGGGGCAGAAATGCAGTCTGCTGCAAAAGTTGTATTTCATACCCATGAAAAAGGGACTCTTTGGATGTTTGAGCTCTACTGGACAACCCAGTAGCAAAGAGCATTGTATCACTTGTGGAAACTCAGCTTATGTCTCCTCCTGCAGTTCCTACCTGGAAAAACACTTCTGTTCTCCTGGAGTTTAGTTTTCATTGTCTGAACTTTAAAAACAATCAGCCTGTTGGGGTGGGAGTTGTTATGTAGGCTTAGTTTTCCTTTTTTTTTTTTTTTTAATTGTTAATGAATCTTTTCAATGTGCTGTACTGCTTTTATGCTTTTAGAACATTCTTAAATTTTCTTTTTGTTCCCATTATATTGATTCTAGTTTCTAGGAGGAAATATAATGAGAAAGCATAGGGTCATGTTGCTGAAATGATTTTCCCTTTCAGCTGAAATGCTGAGGAGCTTTCCATCAGACCTGTCTCATCTCCAAGTCTCAGCCTGGCTCAGGAAAAGCCCTCTGCTTTGTGCTGTTTCTACCCCCAAGCTCCATTTCAGTTTGCACTGGGCAGCACATCAACTCCTCCCAACTCCTTTTCTTATATGTTCTGCTGGGTTTAAGGATTAAGTGATATTTTTAAGGGAAAAAAACAGGATTGGACGCTTCCACAACACCATTAAGCTGTGTCTATGCTAATGTTCACTGTAAAGCCTAGCTTAAACATTCTGACTTCTCATTTGAGTGGCTCCCACAGCAAAATGGGGCAAGAGCTGAGACAAATTAACTTTTCAGCACCTGCAGCTGGGTTACTCTAGCACTGGGAGATCAAGGTAGAACTGTGAACTTATTAGGACTTTTGAAATTGCTGTGACTATTATTTTACTGAGCATATTCAATATGGGTAACAAGAAGAGAGAGCAATTAACAAACACAAACACGCACGTCCTAAAAGGGCCATGGCCCAACCCTTTGCTGAGCAAACCTCACCCCGTGCCCTGAGGCCCCTGCCTGGAGCTGCTCCTTCCAGCCCAGCCTCACCCCGTTCATGTTTGTGACCTGTGCCTTTAGCAGCTCTGGCCCCCCTGCCTGTCCCCACCTGTGGCACCGCGGTGACCGGAGCTTCTCTCTCCGTTCCAGGAGCAGCCATGGAGAGGAGTTACGTGTCCGTGCTCTTGCTGCTCATCGTCATCTCCTGTGCTCTGGCAAAGGATGTGGGCAAGAAGGATTCAAAGGACACTACCGCGAAGCCAAAACTGCCTCAGACACTCTCCAGAGGTAAAAAACACACAACTGAACAAAAATCCCCAACAAATTTTTAAACAAATGCAATCTTGTGAACATTTCAGCTACTATGCTGTTCTAAAAAATTAATTTTCTTGCAACTCATTCTGCAAAACCTTTTCTATTATTTCCTAGCACCCTCTCCTCCTTCACTCCTGATTTAAAGCCCTCTGGCAGGGGTTTGTTTCAAGCCTCCTTCACTCCTGATGTGAAGCCCTCTGGCAGGGGGTTCGTTCCGAGGGCTTCACATCAGGAGGTGCAGGACCCGCACCCGGGGTCCCCAGCCCCATGTAAGGCCCTGTCTGAGGGTGTGTCTGTGTGTCTGTCCCCTGTCCCTCCTGCAGGCTGGGGAGATCAGCTCATCTGGACACAGACCTACGAGGAGGCGCTTTTCCGCTCCAAGCACAGGTACCCACCCCGCCGTGCTCACCCTGAGCCCCCCATGCCTCCCCCGCTCCTAACGAGGGCTCCTCTTTTCCAGCCAGAAACCCCTGATGATCATCCACCACTTGGAAGACTGCCCACACAGCCAAGGTAATCTTTTTCCACTCAGGAGGGGGAAAAAAAAATAAAAAAGTTTTAATTTTCTGAAAAAACTCTGCTTAAAAAAAAAATCAGCCTCCATTCTGCTTAAACCTTAGTGAAGTACTAGCTTGCACAAGCATGGGGAGAGTTCTTCAAGTTGCTGTACCACAAAAGTGTTTTCTAATGTGTAGAAATAAAATAAAAATGGTAATTCAGTATTGCATGATACCAAATGGATATGGAAATGAGTAGAGGTCAGTAGGGTTTGACCCCTGACAAATCTGAATTTGGTTCACAGCACAATCAGCCAAAATCAATAGCAAGACCATTGGCAAGAAATAACAATTTGTCAGAAAGGCCATATTCAGACCATATCATCAGTGACTGAGACTGAATCCAGCCAGGGACTAAATCAATCCAGGCTGAAACTGAGCTCTTCCAGGATTTCTGGTAACTGGGACTGCTCTTTTCCCAGTGTCTTTGAATTTATCTGAGGGCCTTGCTTCCTGCAAGTCAATCCACATGGCAAGATCTTTGCATCCATCCATAGCTCCAGTAACTGCACAAGGGTCTTTGTACAAGCATTTGCATCCTTCCAAAGATTTTAGTCTGAAGCCCTACATGCTGTATTATCAAGTACCTTAAGATCTGTAGTCAGAAATCACAATAGTAAAACAGGAGGTTTGAAGAATCAAATGCTCAAATTCAAACCTAAGCAGAGAATTTGAGAGCCAGCTGTATTCTCCAAAGGAAGGTGGGACATTTTGCACTATTGTAATTACTCTTTAAGGCAGAATAAGAATTAATGGATCATGTTCCAATGGAATGAACTGAAAATGTTTGTTTGCTGCAGTTGTAAACTGGAAATTCTCATTTTGTTTCATCAGTTTGTTTGAATTTCTTTTTGGAGGACAATATATTTCAAGGTCATCTTTTTCATTTTCTTTCCCATTTTTTTCTACTTTAGCCCTCAAGAAGGTCTTTGCTGAACACAAAGACATACAGAAACTGGCTGAAAAATTCATTCTCCTGAACCTTGTGGTAAGTTTCCCAATTACACTTAATTAAGTGAAAGTGACAAAGTTCTGCTTTTAATCATGGCTTCTCTAACTTGAGTTTAATAGCTAGGCTTGGCTAGGAAAATGGCCACTGCTGAAGCATAACAGATTTCATAAGCAAGTCTCTTTCACTTGTAGCTATCATAAACTCAGAATGTGAGGGAATGTGAAGTTCAATAACAACATGAACTCTTACCACTTTGTAATTCCAGCTGTTAAAAAACTGCCTCCCAGACAGTGAATCTCTTAGACTGCAAAATGTATTATTTGAGCTGCATTTCATAATACAAATTATGGTGAAGGAAAAAAAATATTCATGCAACGAGCCCTCCTTGACTAGGAACCTTCTCTGTTTTCTTTAAGTATGAAACCACAGACAAGAACCTTGCACCTGATGGCCAGTATGTCCCTCGGGTTTTGTTCATAGGTGAGTACCTCAAGCACCAAAGCTGATCTCAGAACAGAGCCCCTGCTGCACCATGCATCTCAAATCCTCAGGCTGATTAACAGGAATGTATTTCATGACAAATACAAAGGTTCAAGTTGGTTTTGTGGATCAAATATTGACTCAATACCACCCAGCTTCACAATCCAGCATTCCTCCCTCAATGGCTGATGCCACAGTCACTGGAATGGGTAGCTCATCCTGTTCCTAATAAACTGCAAACACAACACTTAAAACTGAAATGTCAGTGACCCTTTTTAGAACAATCTCTTAGTCAGCAGAAGCAGACATGTCTCACAGAAACATTTAGGAAGCAAGCAGGGGTGCAGAAAGCTTTATTTCCTTTTATTTCCTTCTGCTTGAAGGTTAACCTCTACAATATCTCTCACCCTTTTTCCCCCAGATCCTTCCCTGACTGTGAGAGCAGATATTACTGGAAGATACTCAAACCGTCTCTATGCATATGAGCCGTCTGATATTTCACTGTGTAAGTAGAGTGTTCTGACACGTTCTGGAAATATTCTGAAAGTGGCATTTTTCATGTGACAAGGAATAGCACCAGGCATTACAGATTCTTGCAGTCAGTACTTGCTGAAAGACATTTAACCAGGATTAAAATTAAACAGGATGCTAGACTTAAACTCAGTGAGGTGAAGAAAATGATGGCAGAGCCCTGGAGCTTTAAGCATCCATCTGTTTTAAAAGCAAGCATACATCAGTAGGAACTTGCATAATTCAGCAGTGCTCACTGCAAGCAATGGTGAGAACCCATACACAAGTCCCAACAGACCAGGTCAGGAAACCTCTGGGAGCAGGGAAGGATGTTTGCTACAGCCATCCCTCACTGCTGCACAGCTCCAGTCTCTGCCCATGAGTTGGCATTAATGAATGTTCTCACCAGTAAAAATTAAACCCATGATGTTCACAAATTGCTTGGAAGAGTTAAGTGCATCTGAATCCCTACAGCAATAGGCATGTGATTAAAAGCTTTAATAATAATGACATTTTCTCTGCAGCATTTTTGGTTGCTGGCAGAGGAAGTTGCAGCAAAAAATAACATGCATGAATATTTCATTTCTAGTGTATTCAAATATGCAGAAAGCGCTGAAGCTCCTGAAGACCGAGCTGTAAGGGGAAGAAGAAAGCCCTTAAATATTATGAAGTCTTATCTTCCATGTCTTCTCCACACCTTGATACTGGTGAAGAGACTATTTAGAGTGATATTTAGTGATGTGTAGTGATGGTTTCTATACATAAACACTACAGTTTTACATTAGCACTTTTGTACTGGGAAGCGTTTTTAAAAGCTGGAGGCTTTTATTTTAAGGCGTACAGAAGAATACTGTATGATTCAACTGTAAAAATGATTTTTTAAAAAATAAATTCATTTCAAGTGTTTACATACAAAACATTGCTGTGTTTTCATTTTTTCCCCCTTATCTTTATCTACCATTATTAGAAATAGTAAAATCACCATTTTGCTTGAGACCACAGCTTGCATTTCACATTCAAGGAATTTGGGAAGAAAAATGCTGCTGTGGATCATTCCCAGCCAGCAGCCCAGCCCCACACAGCCACTTGCTCTCTCACTCAACTCCAGTAAGATGGGAGAGAGAATCAGAAGATTAAAAGTGAGAAAACTCATGGATTCAGATAAAGACAGTTTAATAGGTAAAGCAAAAGCTGTGTGCACAAGCAGAGCAAAACACAGGATTAATTCACTGCTTCCCACAGGCAGTCAGGTGTTCAGCCACCTCCAGGAGAGCAGGGCCCCACCAAATGTAATGGCGACTTGGGAAGATGAACACCCTCACTCCAAATGTGCCCCCTTCCTGCTTCTTCCCCCAGTTTGTATGGTGAGCATGGTGCATCCCCTTATTCAGCTGGAATCAGTTGTCTCAGCTCTGTCCCACTTCTCCTGCAGCCCAGGTCTACTTGCTTGGCAGGGCAGTGTGAGGGAGCAGCAAAGACCTCGACCCTGTGTCAGCAACCACAGAAAACAACCTTGTGTTATCAGCACTGTTGTGGCTGCAAATCCAAAGCTGCAAATCCAAATTCACCACACAAGCTGCTGTGAAGAGAATCAACTTTACTCGGCCAAACCCAGCAGAGAAAAGCAGCTTTTTATCTCGTTTCAGAAGCTAGCTAAGCTCTCTATTACTCAGCCTATTTTATCTCAAATTATTTTCCAGTAGCACCAGCCGATGCAGAGTTTTCATTATCAGCCCTTTCTCTACAGCTACGATAGCAAGAAGTAAAAATCTTTCACAGGAAAGTACTTGGGACTAGAGAATGGGATTGTTTGCATGCAGAGCTTGTTTTTCTTTTGAACGGGCTGTATTCTGAAGTGATTTAAGATATGCCTGCTTCCCTTAAAATGTCCCTGCTTACATCAGATTTCAGTAAAGCCTTGAGATGATTAAGAAAGGGGTACCCTATTGATTATTGGCTGGTTTCATGATCGCTTATTTATAAGCCCAAAAGAGACAAGAGAAGTCAGAACTAAAATAAACGCTGCAGATGAACACCATGAGAGTATACATTTCATAAAGACTTATACAAAAAGGAGACTTTCCAGCCCCAAATATCTGTTACCTCTGAACTCAGCAGCAGCATCAGTGAGAAACACCTTGGCCAGGACAATGCTTTCATTATTTTCTCAACTCTTTGGCAATAACAGCATTCTTACCACTTCTATTACCATTACTGCCACAACCACAAGAGGAAAACACTTGGGAGGGCAGGACAGGTGAGAGAAGCAAGGCTTTCAGATCAAAGGAATCTCTCAGCAAAATGAGAAGGGAGGTACTTGCTAATAGGTCTTTGGCAAGCTGTGCGAACCCTGCCTACCAGAAAACCTCAAGAGGTACCTGGAAAGGGTCCCAGACATTGAATTCAGCATTCCTTCAGCACTTCAGTGAGATGCTACTTTCTACTGCCACATCCAGAAGACAGAGGAAAAAGAGATACAGTGGGGGGCAGAAATAGTCTCTAGAATCACTTATCAGTCAGAAAAATGTGGTCATATCACACAGCAGAGGAACAACACCGAGGGAGGCCAGAGCAGCTGTTTATCAGAATCATCTTCACCTACTTAACCCAAAGTACTCTTGCTAGAGCTATGTGACATAAAACAAGGGCTGCCTATGCCATCATGTTTTACAAGACTGTTTTTATAACACTATGGAAGTAGCATAATTTTCTTAAGCAGAGGTGCTGATACTATGTATAACATTCAGTAAATGGATATGAGGCACAGAGACCCTACAAGGGTCTACTAATGTACATGCCTAGATGCAAACACAAATTAGTCCAGCCTGCAAGTATCAATAAATGCTTTTGAAACGGAAATTCTTTTTTGCACTCAAGGCTATGCTTTCTCATGTACTTTTCACCACAAGCAAATCTGCAAGAATCTTAATAAATAAATGGTCAACTTAATCCTGCTCTTTAATCCTTTCCTCTAAATACATATTTTTGGGGGGGCTTAAAGAGGCATTAAGCCAAGCTGAGATACCTAAAAAAGCCTCTTTCAATTTCTTTGGAAAACCTGGGCATCATTGCTAAAATACTTATGATCGTTAGATAACCCAAAGTACACAGGATGGATATGGGGGTTTTAAGAATTCTGCTAGTATTCAGACAATCTTTTAATTAATTAGGTCTAAAATAATAATCCAAGTTAAGAACACTAACTCATTCCTATTCACTTGTCAGCTATAGCTTTTAAGGAATGTTTTTACAGATATGACTTCAAGTTATACAAGCCTTTCCTTTTGTAATAGTTACTTTCATGTGAAAGGTGCAGATACTGTGCAGTAGTATCAGGATGTTAGTCAATATCTGGATTCACTTTCTCACACAGATGGAGAAGAATTAGATTGCTTTATAGCCAATTGTTTTTATATTATAAAAATTCGTATGCATTTTGAAAGAAGACATCTTTCTACATTTTTCCAGAATAACCAGCTTGAAGAAAGCATTTCAACAAACTAAAGCCAAAAGACATCTAATGAAAGCAGTAAGAATGCTCCAAGTTAAATCACTCCATTACTTTGACACTGTGCTGCTGTAAATAGCTTCTAGAAAATCTGGTTAAAATGAAGTCCAAATCTCAAGCAGTCAGATGAAAATGCATCTCTAGAAAACAACAAAAAACCTTTGAGTGGTGAAAACATTTTTCAAGAGAAAGTAATGAAGTTCAATGACAAAACCCACCAAGAATAGGTATAAATAACTTTTTTAAGTGCTCTAGTTTGGCGTGTCAGAATAGTATGGCATTTCTTGGATACTCAAATGAGTCAGACTTTCTCTGAGAGGCAACCATCTTCACCTTCCAAAAACAAAGTCAGACTCATTGTGTTTTACTATCCCCTTTCAGAATCAGGTTTGGAAAGCAAAATCACACCTCTGATTGGGAATTTCAAGGTTTTTGTGGCTGGATGGGTTTGTTTAACCACAATCCCAAAGAGACAATGTATTTTTAATACAATAGAAAAACTTTAATCATTCCATACAATCCACTGATCTATCTTCTGACTACTAAAACAAATTCACATTATGAGACATTAGAGTTTTGGAAGTGGTAATATTTTCAGTATTTTTGTATTGGTGCACGTTTACACTCCAGTATAATCTACCATATTTATGAAACCAGATCCACCCAAAACTAAGCACTACAAAAACAATTAGGAAGAAAGTTAAAATTGAAGCAGCAATATGGTATTATTTTAAGCTTCATTAACCCTCTCCATATGACAACTCCTTGGATTTATTACTGTAATGCACAAAACACAGAACCTGTGTAGACCAGGAAAATTAACTGCTCCTAAAGGCAGCCATGAGATCATCACTGTCCTCTTGACACACATTGGGAATGGCTGGAGAGAAACTGAGGGTAACAGAACAGCAACTGGGAGAAGAAAAGCACTGTGTACATTTTATTGGACTTCAGCAGGCCTGAAGGCTCTTAAGGTGTTTCAGCACACGAGTGGGCTCATATCCTGGCTCTCCAGGTCTGTGTTTGAGCCAGACACAGCTGCTGGGTAGGCACAGCAGCAGCTCCCAGAGCAGCTCCAGGAGAAGGTGCTGACCCTGAATGCTGAAAATTCAGCTACACCTGAAGAGAAGCAGTTCTATAGCAAGTTCTTGACATCCCTCTGCTTTTAGTTTCTGCTCTTCCCCTTCAAAACCTCAAGATAATTCCTTCTTCAGAAGCACTCAGCTCATGAAAGTCTGAAAGTGCTTTGATGGGTATGTGTTTCAACTTTTTGCCTCCTCTGCAGGAATAAGGAGGGATCTCTCTAGTAAAGGGCGACTGACTGTATGAGAATCTACTTCTGTCTGCCTCCAGATTTCCTTTCCACCTTGCTCAGGTGCTGTATTCCTTGGCAGAGGGCCTTAATACTCTTCCCCTTTTCTTCCTGTAGATTTGTCTTTCAGGCTACAGCAACTGCCTACCCTGACTGCAGCAGCAACTGAGTGAAGAATGAATGAAGAAAAGGTGCAGTGCAGATCTGCAATTCAGTATGGTTAGAAACAAATGGGACACTGTGCACCTTGGGTGTTTAGATGTCTGCTGTTTCAGCTGATGCACCACTTCTTTCACAGGCAGCAAGAGGGACCACGCTCCCCTTCAGCTCAGACAACACTTTCTACCTGGGTAACATACCATTCTAACTTGAATTCTTTGTTTTCAGAAAACAAACTACTGGAAAGCAATTTTTTTGTTGCTGTTTTTCTTTCTTGTTTTTTTTTACATGTCATTCAATCTCTCATGAAATCAAGACTGTTATCTGGATGACACAGAAATATACACTGCTGAGTTATTACAACAATGACTTTACACCATCTAAAAAAAAATAGCTGTACAACAACTTTCCAGACATCAAGTTTCTTATATCAGAGATGACAGACACTGATTGTGCAAATACCAAACCTCATTCATTGTCAAGGGAAAAAAGTTTCAAGTTAATCAGCTGCAGATTACATTCTCCTGGTTTTCTTCATTCATTGTTCTCATAATGACAATATTCATTAACATTGTTTTTATTCTCAACAAAATTCTAAAGCTACCAGAAAACCAAAACAATCAGGAAAGGGGGAGGGGTGAAGACTACAGTAGTCATTAACATACACTTTTGTGCACTATAGAAAATAACATCTCTAGCTTCTATTTTTACCTTAACAAGAAAGTGGGAGACAAAAAAATTTACTAGAGTACATCCTAAAACCTAAGTAAATCATACCCAACCATCCACCGTAAATTTTTATCATTTTAATGAGAATCCATGTGAATTTCTGTAATCAATGAATACAGCAGAAAATACCTCTAGGGTTTTTTTTACAGCAGATAACCCAGTAGTGCTATAAAACTCATTGTACAGAGTTTACCATAACAATTAACAAAGTCTTAACCAGCAGTTCAACTCTGCCCAGCTACTGAATGCACCCATCTACTTTAAGATAGAGATTCTTAGAAGAAAAATAGTAGAAATTAAATATGAAAACTACACATTTCTTACAGGACTTGTGTTTTATTTTGAGTACATGTAGAATAACTATTATGGAGAAATACCAAACTATGGAGAATCAGTATTTTTAAGTAGATGGTGCAGAGAGAAGATTTAGTCCTTTATAAACTCATCAAATAAATGCACTAGGGTTTGCACGGGGATCCTTTTGGTTCCTGTATCTGTAAGTCAGCCAAACTCCCAGAATCTGAAAATAAAAACCAAAGATATTATTAAGCAGAGAGTTTCCATCCCATCTTCTAGTTTTACAAAATTTGTTTTAAACACAAAATCATGACAAAGAATTTTCAGTGTAGGATACAAGTTTAGGATATTTTACTGTTGCTAAAATTGTACAACCACACTCCATCTTTCTTAATTAGAAAAAAGAATGCATGCTCTCTCTCTAAGAAAAATCATACCCTAGCAACAGAGAGAAAAACAAAACAAAAACCACAAAACTATGAACAACAAAAGCCAAACTCATATTCACAATGCAATAAAAAATTTCCCATTGTTTTTATAACAAAAGTTAAATTATTCTTCTCCCCTTCCCAAATGATAAATACTCATAAAGCTGCTTTGAATATAAGGACAAAAAAATCCTCCGAACCGTTTCATTTTACCATTACCACTTAACTATAAAGCTATTCTTGCGTTTTCAAATCTTTTCATTCCCCCCAGCACCTTCACATTTTTAGCTGAGATGGCTGAGATCTGTGTGATTCCATTTAAGTTGCTGTATGTGTCCTCTTGCTGTCTTATTTACAAACCTTCTCAAAAGTGCACTAAGCAGCAGGAAGAGCATTTTCACATGCTCTTCTCTGGGATTAGGAAAGGCCTACTCTGAGGATTTTTATGCTCCAATCAATAAAGCAAGTTATGCATCATCATGGTACTAAAGCAAAGAGCCAAAATACCTTCTTAATTTTAACCTACTGTTTAAAATACAGTTCACTCTTGTGCAACTCCATCTTTGCACTACAGGTGGCACAAAAAAAAATCCTCAAAGACCTTATGTGTGCTAGAGTGGGGAGTAGGTGGGAAGAAAAGGGAACAAGGTAAAGCAACAGCTCTCTTTTAATACTGCTGGAGAATGGTAGACTTGAACAGCTAAGTTTCTGAAAAGCTTAAACTTTATAGCACCACATTTTAATGCTGATGTTTGTTTTCTAAATAAAAAAGCTGCAAGAAAAGCCTTCCTTCTGACAGACACGGGTCTGTCATCAAGGTCATAGCTTTGAGAAATTTGGCCTAATTAATTATCTGATTCCTGAGACTGCAGTGAGGTTTCCTGTAATAAACCCCCTAAAAATGTGTTTCACAAAGCAAAGCTTTAAAAGTGGGGAAAAAGCACTCAATTTTCCAACCACCCACTCACCTCTGTGAAGCTGAAGAAGAGTCCTATCCCACCAACAAATCTCAGCACCATTCCAGCATATTCTTCCATTATTGGTGCACATGGTTTACAGTGGAGATTTCTAAGACAATCCTGCAACAGATACAGAGAATTGCTTTCCATTTGCTGATAGCACTTTGTTGTTTGAAAGCATCTAGTTTGCTCTAGAAGAGACTGCTACCCATGGACAAAACTACAGAAGTTTTGAAAGACTCCAAAAGCTCAAGTGTATAAATAAATGACAATGGAGTACAAACTTTGCAGGGTACCCTGCAACTGTTTTACCAGTCAGTTAAGAGCTTAGTGTCACTGTAACAACTACATTACACACCTGTTAAAATGCTGCTTGCTGTAACTGTGGAAACATTTTTGAACAAACCCTGTGTGAATAAGTTATGTTTTTTCCCACTTGAAAAACTTACAGCGGCGCAGGTTTCATTCGGATAAAAAGCTCTGAATCCACAACAATTCAGATTTCTCTCAATATCTGTTCTTGCGCTGTTGGTGTTACTCCATCCCACCTCTAGAAGTTCACTCTAGAAGCCATAAGCAAATACATATTACATTAATTTTTAAACTGTTTTACATTGCAAGCCAAAATACAAAATCTAGTTGATAATGTTTTAACTAAAGCCTTCAGATCTTGATGCTTAACAGGAGAATATAAATATATTAAAAACAACTGGAGTGTCCAAAGAGGCTGTGTAGCTAAAGAAAGAACAGCACCTAACAGCAGCACATTCATGGGTAATTCCTTTCCTTCCTTTGTTTTTGCTAAACCCAACAAGATTACTAGTAAAGGGAAATGTGACTAATCTAGCTGGGACTGCCCAGGCTATACACAAAAAGCACCGTCACATGCAGAAACCTATTGTTTAGTCACTGTGCCCTTACCCACCTCTTATGCACTCAGAACCGGTCTCCATACCACATGGAAGACTCTTTTACTTTCACATGTAACTGCCTAATGTAATTATGACCTTTCCAGTTACACATGAACAATTCAACCATGATTACTGTATATTTCAGATAAGATTTCATCAGTTTATCTGAAATTGCTGAACACAAGATATAATCAAGATATCATGCTGCTACACCTGTGAAAACAAACCTAGAAAGGAAGCCTAAAAACAAATTAAATTTAAAAAAAAGTAATTTTAGGACCCAAATGTATTCTTTTCTAGCTACCAGAGCCAAACATTGACCAAGGTCGACTCTTTAATAACTAGGACAATGCTGATTTTCTTAAAATATGCTCTCCCCATTTTATGGAGGACTACAGAGAAATACATGTGCCTGTGTATATATATATTTATAGTGTTATGCTATAGATTAACTGAGAAGGCAGGAAACTTTTCTTACCCGCTGTTCCTCATTTAGTGCCAAACAGGCACAGGAGACAGAAAACTGGACAATAAAGACTAGCAGAAGAATAATCATGTACTGGAAACAATCAATAGTTAAGGATACACTCTCCAATTAATTTTGCTTTTACAACATATGTACCTAATGGTATTCCTTATTTCACCAGGTAACAGTTAAGTCCTCTAAAACAAAAGAACTGTGGAAGCAAATTCTGATTGGATGTGGAAAAGGTGACCTAAATAATGTTCCCAAACCCCAATCATCATGTATTATCTGTTTTGGCTACTACAATACATTGGTGGTATTTCCTTATTAGGTATTTCTTGCCTAGCAAGAGAACATGAGCAGGGAGGTCAATAAAAGGAGCTTGAGAGCAAGATCTCCAGCCATCTGCTCCAGCTTTAGGGACTCATGTAATTTCATTATACTTCACTTAAATAAAGTAGTAGAGAAGATATTTTTGGGGGTATTGCATATTCAGGTTGCTTTTTTTCAATGACAAAGTCCTGTAATTAATTACCAAAAAAACCTTTAGTGTAGATTAAAAATAAAAAAAGATAAGAGTTGCTCTTGGAACACAGCCTCACACACTTTTGGACTACTGCATCTGAAGATGGTATAAAACAAAAAGAATAAACTTTGATACAAAAGATCATGTTTTGAAAGTTGGGGAGTACTTTCAAAATGTGGCTGCTGTGTTCAGAGGCAGATACTTCACACAATTTAGCTGTTTGTAAAGTGGAGGTCAGTTCTTATTCACAGACCACAAAAGTTAAACATTAATAGTTCACCTACTTTAGCCCCATGTAGGGCTGAGCACACAGCAAGAGGCACCTGTGACACAGTGAGCTACCATAAAAAGCTCTCAAAGAATTAAGAGTCTTATTTATAAAAAGAGATGTGAATACTTCTATCTTCAAAGCACAGACAATGGAAGGGAAAAAAGGAAACTGAAACGAAGTTAAATGGGAAGTAAGTCTAATTTAGACTGCACTTGACCAAAGCAAGATTGTGAATTTCTGTTCTGTTTCTGAAGCCCCTCCCCCAGCAATCTCAGCTGACACAGGAGGTTGTTTACACAACTCGAACCACACTGCAATCAATGCAGTGCATCAGAAGGATACAAAGAATAGCAATACTTGATGATGTTTCACTGCACCGATCAATCCAACTAAGGCAATAAAGAAGAGGAAGACTCCTACTGCGATTACCACTCCAACAACTCTGAAACTAGAGATGAGGCCAAAGCCAATTCCCCATGCTGCAATTCCAATCAGCAGCAGGCTCACCAGCTGGAGGGAAGAGAAAACACAAAGTTAGACTGCATATTAAAACAGGCTCCCACACACAGGTAATTTTTTTGCATTTAAGTTGTTTTTAAAAAGGTACAATTTCTCTTTCTAGTGTAAAGAGAAGAAACACAACCCTAAACAAACCAATCCTCCACATAATTGTGTAAGTAATTTCAGTTCCAGATGTTTTAAGGCATACATATTCTTCCACACTGTCAATGTGGAACTGTTACAACTCAAATCACCTGTAAGTCTAGCCATGTTGTACTATCAGTGACTGACTAGAGACACTAAACTGTAGATCATAACATAACTGACAAATAAGCTAAAAAATCATCAGCTTTAATTCAGAGTGGAGTAAGAACCAAAATTTCGGATGTTTTGTTAAACTGTGGCAGTATATTTAAAGAAAATAAAATATACACTATACAGCTCTGAATGCATAAAAAAGGGCACTTTGCCAAAACTTACTCTAATCAGCTGTATTAATTCATTAAAGAAGTTTCTACATACTTGATAATGTAACACAATTGTTAACATGGTCACAAAAAAGACATTTCAGATCTGAATTGCAAGGACTTTATACAGTACTAAAACAATAAAGGTATCCTGTCTCCTCGGCATATTTTTTCAAGAAAATAACTCTACTATTAACTGAATCCTATTTTAATACCCAAAACACTTATGCTGTTTCCTTCCTTTTAAACATGGTATTCAGGGAAGGCAGGCAGGAATCTGTCCCAGTTACTTCACAGAGATTTATTGTTTATATGGGCAGGAAGCTCCAGCCTTTCCTGTTTCCACACCAAAAAAATACAACCCCAAGAAAAAAGAAATTCCATCATGAAAAGCTGCAGAGAAATCTGTAATGAAGTTCAGCAGGAGGAAAGAAGCAGACAAAGCCAATCCAGATGTCCAAGGCACAAGATGCCCAAGACTCTCTGGTTTGAAACAGACCTAAGTGTAACATTGCTTATCACATTTTCTGTTAAATGATGCCAATGTGCAAGTTTTAACTTTCCAAAACTCTGATCTCACAAAAAAAATACTCAGCTTTATAGCTGTTTTAAAATAATCCAAACCAACAATATAAAACATTAGGCACTTAGTCTAGTTCAACTACTTGGCTTTGCTCAACAACAGGTATAGAGCAAGCACTTGCTCACCATTTCCATTCAAACAAGGCACATTCTCATGAAGCACATTTTATTGCTTACCCAGAGGCAGGAAGAATTTAAAAAAAAAAAAAAGGTAACTGGTAATTTCCAACTTATCACTTTAGTATACTTACCCTACATCTGGCAATTCTTGTTAGTATTAATATAATAAAATACATCTGTATATGTTTTTCCATTTAAGTACATTTTAGAGGACTACCTATGTAATGCAGCTTTTGAAACATGGAAATCTAAGATAACATCAAAAAAGCTACTAAAACAACTGGAGACGCTCATCAAGATCTAAACACAGCAGGTGGATTATTTTTGGCTTCACACAGGAATACATCTCAAAAAACTTTTTACCAAAAGCCAGTAATCCACACAAGAAATTCAAGAGTTTGCAAGAACAAAAGCAGGATATTTGTTATACCTACACTTCTCTCTTAACACATAAAGATACAAAAACCAATATAAAATTCAAAGGAATTGTTCAGTACTAGCAGAGTTTAGGATGATTTCACATTTGTCTTTGTTTCTCTTAAATAAAAGGCCTAAATTACCACATTTATTTAGAACAAAAACAACAGGCCAAAGTGTCATGAATCAAAATTACAGAGAGGACTGAAGAAAAAAATAAAATAAAACACCTTGGCTCTTACACAGACAAATTTTCTGAATCCATGCTGCACAAGGCTATAAACTTCCCAATACCAGTACATTAAAAATTAGCCTGGCTAATCAGACAGTTTATTGCAAGCCCTACCTTTTCTGATCTATGCCCACTCATTTTATTTCACTGTCTCATCCCACTGGAAAGATTTATTTTTCCATGTAAGTACCAGAAGCAAGTAACTAAAGAAACAGCCCGATTCCAATCAGAAAGTGCTTTCTGACATCCCATGCTCTGCACCAGCTTCTAAATACTGAACTCACATTTCCACTACATAGGTCTTTAAAAAAAAAAAAAAAATCTCACAAGCAATGACAAAGCTCAATTTATTTCACAAAGAAGAGCAGATGAAACTTTGTTCCGAATAGTTTTCACCAATACTTTTCTGTCTGAGGGCAAATCTTTCACCAATCTGCCTCCAGGATACCAAAATATGTGTTTGCTCAGCTTTTTGCTCATTTTATAAGAGGTCCAAAAGCATTAGATGAAATTAGTTAGTTCTTAAAATACTGAAATCAAAACAAGAGACAAAATCTGTGACTCTAAGACCTCCTGGATAAACACAGTCTGTGAAGTGCAGGGTACCAGTTGCTTCTTGATGCCATTACTGAGCTCATCTTGCATTAATCTGATGATACATGCATAAAATTAGCTACATGACACCAGAACTGTCCTGACACCCTGGTACAAAAAGCTTTTCTAGTAGAAACAGCCACATTTTGAGTCTAGAAAAGGTCTGGTTTTCAATAAACTGGGGGCAAAAAGCCTCTCTGGATTTTAAACCCAGTATTGAACAATTCAAGTTTTAGAGCTATCAATCTCATTTTAAACTGTTACCTCCATAATACCAAGGTTCCATTTTCCTTGACAAAGTTAGGAATTGACCAATTCCTTAAAACATCTGGAAATTCAGTGTGATCACAGATCCATGCTACTGGGCTGACAAACTATAGGAAAATGCTGTATCCAATCAGGCAGATCCATGATGTGGATCAAAATCATTACTGGCCACTCCTTTCTTGTCACTTGAAATTGTGGAAAATTGACTTTTTAAAACTGGAGACTACAGTTTTACTAATCACTCCAGAAACTGATTTAGTGTTAAGTTTCTGTCTCCTCCACATGATTACTGAAAGATGAAATTATGGTTGTTCCTTCATATTCAGGTTTGGCATAGACTATCTGAATGAGAGGAATAACTTTCTCTTATGTAGTTTTTTAGTGTCATAATGCAAAAAACTGAAGTAAAAGAACACTACTACAAAAAGGAAAAATAGCTGTTTTGAAAATAGTTTTTTAAGTCTGTAAAACAATGCAAGGTTCACAGTGTTATGTACTGTTTAGCCACTAGAAATAACCACTCAATAGTGCTTATTCCAGTGTTTTGAGATGAAATGATTTAAATGCAAAATATCTAAAATTGAAGCTGCTATGGCTTTATTATTACAGTGTACTTGAAACAAAATTAGTGACCCTAACCACTTCAAAAGACTAACATGTACATTCTAAACATACAAGCTTTACCTACATGCAAAAAGGCCAAGTATTTCTGTTCAATGAAGGAAGAAAGACTCTCTATGGAGCTTCTGAATGTCACATTTTATTTAACTGAGACCACATTTCATGGCAGCAGAAGCCTCCCAAAGTAAACAGTGCCATCCTTGGAGGACTGAATTATCTGTGAAAGTTCATTTTACCTATATGAATTTACTTAGACAAAGCTAGCTTTGGTTAGTAACACTTCAAATATCTGCTTGATGTATTTACCAGAAATATCTGAAATCACAGACCAGTTTTTAGTGATTAGGGCTAATTCAGATTCCCACAGGAAGGCTGGAGAAATTGGCTTGTTAAGACTGAACAGCCACAGGCAGACTGCTGAACTTGAAGAGCAGTAATTGATGGCCTAGCATCCTTCTGGGCAGCAGGTAAGCACCACCACAAAGGCTGGAGCCAATATCACACAGTATTTTCATCAACAACCTGAATATACACAAAATGAATTATCCAAAAACACGTGGATGACACTAAACAAGGAGGGGTGGTTGACTCTCCAAAAAGAGATTTAGCTCAGATATACCTTGATAAACTTGAGGAATAAGCCAACCTCAGGAACCTTGCAAAGTGAAAAATTGTGCTCCTGGGTGCTTCAGTGGAGCCTGGGATTGGACCAGCTGAACAACAGCCTTAATGAGACAGATCTGGAGATCAGATTGTTTGTCAGGTTGAACACAAAATGAGACAGATCTGGAGATCAGACTGTTTGTCAGGTTGAACACAAAATGAGACAGATCTGGAGATCAGACTGTTTGTCAGGTTGAACACAAGATGAGACAGATCTGGAGATCAGACTGTTTGTCAGGTTGAACACAAGGCAGGAGTCAGCTCTCGCTGCAAACAGGGAAACCAAGAAGAGTGCAATCCAAGGAAACATAATGCTGGAGAGACTGAAGCTCAAATACTGTGTTCTATTTCAAGTCCCCCGGGTGGAAAAGGAATTTGAGAACCTGGCAGGAGTCAGTAAAATGGCATGGAGCCTTGATAATGAGAGGTGTGAGAAGAGGGGATGGAGCTGGGTTTCTTTAGTATGACAAAGAGGTTGCCTGGGGTAATCACATACTACGTAAAGCTGGAGGCACATCATACAAACATGGAAGCAAACTCTTCTGGGTATCATAAGTAACAGCTTGGGAGGTTCAGTGGACATTAGAAAACACACCTGAAAGGTGGTTTGGGGATGATCTTTGCTCTCAGGGGTGTCCAAGACTCCTCCACAGGCTAAGTCACAGATAGCAAGCTACTGCTACTCATAATCCTAATCAGGGGCCTGGACTGATGAGCCCCAAAAATGCCTTCCAACCAACACTGCCACACAGCACAGCCAGCACTTTGACCACACCACTCTTTCCAAACCAAAAATCAAAGTTTTAACAGATAGATAAGAGGTGGATTTAGCACTGACCACGGACTATCTTCACCAGTTCAAACCCTAGCTATCTTACTTAAAGGCACACACACAAATATAGGCTTAGTAAAATTTAATATATAAACTGGTAATTTTGAAATTAAGTAAATTCTTTACCAGAACAAACCTTTAGGTAGCACAAATTCTAGGTGAAGATCAGTGGTTTTCCCTATGAGATTAGAGTATTTCTACTTTGGAGTAAAAC